CTTGGATACGACTTGACGTGAGTAGGTAGGTACTAAGCACCACGCGCTCACTTTGACTTCCTTATCGCATTATTGTGCAGAAGTTCGCGTAATATCTTGCACAAGTTTCGTTTCTCACAAACGCAGCTGTAGTTATCGGTAAGAAAACGCCTACGAAGTCAACGTTCTTTCAAAAACATTGTAGATACCTACTTTGTATGGGTTTGTCAAATTTTGATCAGCATGTTTTTGTAGTCTACTTAATACTTCTATAGTTTTTCTTTTGTTCTTTAGTATCTTAATATGCTATGCTAGCATCAGGCTTCATGAGCTCTCGCAGGTTGTCCTATATGACCTTCTTAACAAGAGTAACTATAATAATATGTTTACGTTTCATATTTTTCCACATTAGCCCGAAGTTCTAATTTGCACTCAATGTTTGGCAATATCTACGTTCATTGTTTTCTTACCATTGAACTTCTAACATACTGAACAACGTCCTAAAACTACATCATACCATTCTAATAATATTATAAATTGTAATTTACCTTCAGAAAAATGTTCTCGCCTTGAATCAATGTATAAAAAATAAACATATTTATGTCAATTTTTGTTTTGTTGCATTTTCTATTTCAATATTTTAGTAAAGTGCACCACTAGTTCAATGACCCACTAGCCGCCACTGATTATAGGTAATAGCAAAGAAGATACAGTCATCTGTTCAATACCTATTAGATAAAACCTACTACAACAAAAGATGTCTTCGTATAAAATAGGCAACTGATAACATTAGTTCAAGACGAGGCTACACTATCTACTCTCACGGGTCCTCTTCACTCCTCATTGTCCTCATACTATTAATAATGCAGTTTATCAACACTTGGCATATACTCGTAGTGATCGCTCATATTATAATACCGGTCCTCCACAAACACTGTCTTAAATGACTGATGAAGGTATGTATTTTGCATTATCTTAAGGAAACAGCCATGGAGTTACGGTTTTAAAGAAAATATTGTCGCATTAATTTGTAGGTGAATAGTATGATACATTTTTTGAAGGTATTTTAGGGGATTAATGAGCAAACGGGTCACATTATGAAGATGTGGTCAGTGGCAACAATAAAACATTTTTTTATGACGGGGGAAACCTTCAAAAGGGGCCTAGGTTTTTGGGGGGAAAGACTTTTTACCTCACTAACACTACCCCGGTGGCCACTCTCAGCATCTGTAAGGAGCACCGGGTCCTCTAAAATAGACTAACTCCGGAGCACCCACGGTGCAACGCCTAGCTTTACTATTAGACAGACGGACGGACAATAAAATTTTTGACGTTTCAAAAGTGCCTAATTATTAATTGAAATAAATGCTTTGACTTTGACTTTAACCTGTTACGGTACATCCCTAAGGAGCCTACAATAACATCTACAACACTATAGGATTTACAAGAGCCTGCTGGCCTACTATGTAGTACGAATACTGTCATGTCGAAAGTGAATAAAGATCATATCCAAACATGATTTTATGTTGTAGCTCACATAACAATCGGATAAAAATAAACTTGTTCAGCAAGGCACAATTTTATATAACAGTTTTTTGAACAAAAAGGAAGTCATTAGAACAATATACTGCCATCGACATTGGACATCGCTAACGAGACAACAGCGGACAAGTGTCAATTGAATTTGTTTCACAGATCGCCATTTTATCACGTAGTCGTTAACTTTGACGCGATGTCATCAACTCGTGCGCATCTCCCGTGATTTTATTATCTGTGCACGTCATCGTCGTTACACTGGAATTTCTGTTCTGTTGATTCTGTTTACCTAGTTATCGATCTGAATGTGATCAAAGAGTTTTTCCTCTAAGAAGTTATAAAGAGCCATTATAATTATGGTCCAAAAGAAGAGTTTGTCTTATGTTTAACGAGATTGGAACCGCGTTTAGTCTTTCTGATTGGTTGGTTTATTAGATCAGGCTAATCAGAACACCGAAAGCGCACTAAGCCCTCTGGTATATTCAGTCTAACATAGATTAAAGAGATTTAGATAAACTACGAAACAGTATTCATTTGCCTTATAATGAGCAGTTACTTACGTATTGTAGCACAGGTTCATACACCGTAGATATTAAAATAAATGTGCAGATAATTTGTACGAGTTTATGCGCAATACATATGTGAATTTAGTAGACGCACTAAGAACGTCCAAAAAGGGAGTTTTTTTAAGGGGGTAAAATCATCGAGTCACTTCTCCCGCCTGGGTGAGGCGGGAGGGAGTGTCAGAGTCTTACTGACTAAAAACCATCCCGTTCCTACTCCTGCGCTTTGAGCCGGAGCCCCCACCAACCCGTTAAGTCTTCCTCGGCAAAAAAAGGGAGGAGTAGAGTACTATTCTTGTTCTAGTTCTGGTCGATACCTTACTTACTACTTACTATTTACTTACTTACTATTTACTTACTTACTATACCTACTCTTATTGACTATCCAGTCTAGCATGCAAACTGTTGCTTTCAACTAAAAATAGGTACAGGTGCAAAGAACTACCAAAGGGACTTTTAAAGGGCAATGAAAATAAAAGTAGACAACACGACCTTTCACGAATCCAATATGTCAACGGATTTCTATTCCGACAGCATTCAAATCGGTGAATGACTACGAATGGGGACGGTTTTTTGTCCGAAACGGACCAATCCGGTGTCCGATCTCGTAGGGAATGTCAACACTACCCACTTACTATTTTTATATGTGTTCCAGAACGATCCTCATTTAGAAAACGTCCTCCTTGAGGGTCACATTTTGATTCGTTAAATCATGATTGATGGGAACAGATTTCGTAGAATTCTTTTATTCTAGGATTTAGGTGTTCTATGAATATAAATGGTTTTTCTAGTCGGAACGAACCTAGTTAAAGGTTAATGTATGACTAGTTGTTGTACGAGAACGGATGAGTGGCTATTATTACCTATATGATTGTTTTTATTAACAAAAATCTATGAATACATTCATGTTATAGGTTAAAAAATGACAATTAACTCAATAACCAAGCGACTTGGCTTCACCCAGTTCTACAGTCTCTTATTGTGCCTTTACCTTTTTTTTAAGGGGGAAAATCATCGAATGACTGCTCCCGCCTGGGTGAGGCGGGAGGGAGTGTCAGACTCTTACTGACTAAAAACCACCCCGTTCCTTCTCCTGCACGTCGAGTCGGAGCCCCGGTTACCCGTTAGGTTCTCCGCGACGTGCCTTTAGGCTTAATTCATTGTCTCCTGCAGTAATTCACCGAGGGAAGTCAAAACTATCGTTTTTTTTCTTCTCCTCTTATAATTTCTTCTGATTCACTTCGTTGCGCACCAAGACAGTTATTCATGTCCCTGGGACGCGCCGGACTTCAGTGTTCCGGTGTTTTCATGGTTGTATCTACTGTAGATCCTGGCTTACAGGCTTTGCAGCAGCTTAGGGAAGTGGTGGCGGGCTTGTCCCATAAAAAAATAACACAATAGCCTAATCAGTATGACGTGATAAATATTAAATGATCAAGGCTTTTACGGCTTTGAAGGATTTGATTTTTGTCTTCACAGTAAAACTACCATAAAAATCATTTCCACACAATGCCACACAGACACGCAAATAGGTATCTACCTACGTAGAAAATTAAACCCTTTTTGCAGCTTACCACTTACCACATACATCTGCACTACCCAAAGGATGACTAGCAGAAAATGTTGTTAGCATTAAGTCCTCCTTACGCAAAACTTTAACAAATAAAAACTCAATGCTGTTAGAAGATATCCCACTCTTCAAAATTTAAAAAAAAATCATGCTCAAACCAAGTCCAAACCATTCTTTAAACACTTATTTATATTGTTTTATAATTCCTAAATTAATGAACATGCGACTTTACACATTAAGTAATTAATTACAACTTTCCTTAACGCTCATCTTGCAATCTCGGGGATTTAAGGCAGCCATTTTGTTTGTCACTCCGACACAATTCATTTGTCATTGTCAGTTTTCAATGCAAGCCATTATGACAGTGAGGTCATTATGAAACAATTACAATGGCAGGCTGAAGGTTTATCAGATTATCGTGAAAAGGTACCACGCAAAATTTTCTTCTTAGCTGAGTACCTCGTTAAACGTGGACGATTTAAAAGTTCAAGGATTCCCTGGGCTGAGCTATGTCCCGACTGGGGGCTACGGATGATATTTTTTAACCAGTAAGAGTCTGACACTCTGAGTGTCGCGGTGGCCCGGAGGTTTAAGACGCCCGCTTCTCATGCATGAGGAATCCTACCAACGGCAAGTACCAATGTGACTTTTTCCGAGTTATATGTACTTTCTAAGATTATTTAGACACCACTGACAAACGGTGAAGGAAAAACATCGTGCGGAAACCTGGGCTTATAATTTCTAATTATAAGTTTGAAATCGCCAACCCGCATTGAGCGTGGTGATTATTGATCAAACCTTCTCCGTGTGAGAAGAGGCTTTGCTCAGCAGTGGGCATTTATAGGCTGTTGATGATGAAGAGTCTGACACTCCTTTTCTCCTCACCCAAGGCGGGAGAAGTCATTCGGCGATATTACTTTTTTCATTTTTGAAATCTCTTTAATAACTTCAAATCTGGATTATGGTAGGACAGTCAGACAGCTAACGCCCTACTCAAATTAAAGTTATTATTTCAATACCATAACCTTAAAAAAATCGAGCATGGGTGGCTCGCCGCCCGACCAGAAACAGACCCGAGCAAAGAGCAGACCACCACAGATGGGGCCCAATAGGGCTGATGCCGATACGGAGCCGCGGAAAACCTGACGGGTTACCGGGGCTCCGGCTGAAGTTATTCGACGATATTCCACGATTAAAAAAACCTTAAAAAAATGAATGTAAGTATAAATGACACCGTAAGTTTTAGACTTACGTTCAAAGAATAAAAAATATAATGCCATGTCATCATTTGTACACACGAAGCTGTTTTCAAAACCATGATCATCATTTGCCCATGCGCACACAATACTAACTTTATGTTCAGGAAGTGACAAGGACAGCATCGCCAGACCAACTTTTTTCAAACCACTATGGACGCCCTGAAGAACAGAAATTGATAAAAATATTAATATTTTTTGCGTTTCGTCGTGTGAGTGAGGTTACCGGAGGCCTAATCACCTTCCCCTTTCCCCAATCTCCCCAATCCCTGAATCTCCAACGATCCTCAAACTCCTAATCCCTAAAAAGCCGGTGACGCACTCCAGGTGTCCATGGGCGACGCCGATTGCTTACCATCACGTGATCCGTCTGCTCGTTTACCGGCTTATGCCATAAAAAAAATATTTTACTTGTGACTATGGCTGATGTAACGAACCTTCTTTGTGAAAATTCACAATCCTGTACACTATTATTATTTCTTTTAGTTGTACCTACATGGTTTCAAAATTGACAAAAGAAAACGCACTACGCTCGCTGCGTCAGTGGTCGCAAATACTTCTCGTGATTATGGACCCTTAACCTAGTTCGAAACTAGTCCGGTTACCTCGTCAAACAGTTATGTATTAGCTACTTAGTTAGTACCTAGTTAGTGTTATCTAGTTGATTAAACTTTTACAACACAGTAATAATGCATAACATTTAAAAACGAAAATCTAATTAAACTATGCCCTGTGGTACGACACGATAGTCATAAAAGTAATGACTTATAAAAAAAAATTATACATTCACATGAAAATGGTCTTACAGAATATAAACCTTAAGTAAATAGTGCTTTTACAGTGTTTTTATAATAACTATCGTGAGACATACCAAATTAAGTAAAATCGCGCACGCTGCTCATGAGGAAGAACCCCTCTGTGGTTCGAAACTAGTAGAGCTTTTCTCAGTATATTCACGTGAGTAACCCGCGATTTTAGTTAATGCTTTAACAGTTTGATAAATATTACTTGTAAATTTGTTTTCATATTCTCTCTTTGCGTCTTTAATTTTTTTTTATCAAAATACAGAATACATTGGCAAAATGATGTCCAAAGATTTTTTTTAAAAACGTTGCCCCACCTTCGGATTTTCTCCTGTGTCATGGGTGCGTTTACAAACATACAAGTCCACATACACAATGACACCCAGACCCGAAACAACAATTTGTGGATCACACAAAGTGTTGTTCCGTACGGGAATCAAAAGATGAATCAGTTATACATAGTTATATGAAGCACCATAAAAGAAAATATAGTCAGTTGGGGGACAATGGGAAAAGGAGACACGTAGCAACGACCCCAATTACCCTGGGATAAGGGCTGAAGAAAGAATATGTCGTTTCTATCACTTTGTATCTACCAACATACAATGCAGGCGCTCTTTGACATTTATAAATATTTGTAGGCAGTTCAAAATCCTTCACACACACAAATATAGACCGTATAACAACTATATAAAACACAACATAACATAACATCACGACTTTTATCCCTGAAGGGCTAGGCAGAGGTGCACATTGAGGCACTTAATGCCACTGTACATATGTAACACCCACTTTTCACTATTTATGTTATGAGTCCTATGTAATAGGGGTGAGTCTATTGCCATATACCGCCATACCGGGTCAATTCCAGAGTCTTCCTGCTACTACTGAGATTTTTTTAAAACCCAGTAATACTTTCCCCGACCCGGGAATCGAACCCCTTGCCCGGAAATCACACTTGCGACCACTCGGCCAACGAGACAGGCTACCTATCTTTATCTTTATTATATATATAATTCTTCTGTGAGTGTGTATGTCACTGAACTTCTCTCAAACCACTGGACCGATTTTAATGAAATTTTTTGTGAGTGTTCAAGGGGATCTGGGAATGGTTTAGATTCACAAATCAGCCCGGCAGATGGCGCTGCAGTCGATGTTTCGGTTATTTATTGAACTAATTTGAATGATTTTTTGTTTATAGAGGTACATTCAAGTGGATATGCAGGACCACGTCTGTTGGGTCCGCTAGTAATAATATAAAAATTACATTAATTTACTTGCTTAACAAATTAGATGCCGTGTCGGACAATGATGTCTGACGCTAGCGGAGGATTAACCTTTAACAGTGTTTATCGGCAGTTAGAGGCTTATGATACGGTTCAAAAACTTTCCATTCACGCAAAAAGAAACCCAATTGCAACTCCGAAAGAGTTACATTTTACTTATAGCACAGATATGAACCGCATTGTTTCATTTCATCACAATTAAGTGTTAACATAAACTAAACTGACACTGTGTTTATCTAAATGAGATCTTATTATTAACGTGTCTGAGTCTAATCTTCATAATCATAATACTGTCGATTGAGAACATCTGTGGTTCATCCTAATCTGAGGTAAACAAATGAAAATTATGAATGAAATCAATCATTGTGACTTATAATTGTTTTTCACATAGTTTTTATGCTACATATACACTCTCGCGCGAGTTGAGACGAGGCCGAGATACATTGACGTTATTATAGATGAGTTGTAGACCTTCTCGCATTATAAGACTGTAATGTACCTCAACCTCGTATCCGCTCGCGCGAGAGTGTGAATGTAGCATTAGACAATATATGAAGTTCTTCTTGACATAATATTCCTGTGAATTATTTCTCGATCTAATGTTAATATTTCTAACTAGCTGTACCCACGAGTTCGTTCGGGTAGAATAGTGTGATTCACAGTCACAGCTCCTCCCCTGTAGGTGATAGGTGATAGCGATTATATGTAACCAATATACCCGAACTGTTAGTAATATTCATGCAAAATTTGAAGTAAAATTATGTACAGTGAAACCTGGTTAAGTGAGACATCAAGGGACCTGCAATGTCGTTTCACTTATAGATATTCCACTTACCCAGTGTCTCAGATATACAGGTATAAATAAATATCTGTCTCATTTACAGAGGGTTCCATTAATAGAGGTGGACTTAGAATTACGTATGGAATTTGTGTGTAGAATAAGAATGAGTAAACAGACAATGTTATCTCAGTTACAGAGGTTTATGCATATAAATTTTACTCGCTGTCTCAGTTATAGAGGTAACTATGATGATAAATCGAAAGAACAAATCCCAGATATAGAGTTTACCTCGTCCCACCAACCGAGGTAATTCAGTGCCAAAGTGTTGGGACCTTTGCATGAGCTCCAGTTATGGAGGTTTCTCACTTATCCAGGTCCCACTTATCCAAGTTTCACTGTATTACTTTTTGAGTTTAACCCGGACATACATACAGACAAACAGACAAAGATTTTTAAAACCAAATTTTAACTTCGGTATCGATAGTAGATCACACACCAAGCATTCTTTTAAATTCGTCCGCGGGCCTGCGGACGGCGAGCATGGGTGGCTCCCCGTCCGACCAGAAACAGACCCGAGCGTACGGCGCGTCGCGTTCCGCGCGCGCCTCAAAGAGCCATCAGACCACCACAGATGGGGCCCAATAGGGCCGATGCCGATTCGGAGTCGCGGAGAACCTAACGGGTAACCGGGGCTCCGGCTCGACGTGCAGGAGAAGGAACGGGGTGGTTTTTAGTCAGTAAGAGTCTGACACTCCCTCCCGCCTCACCCAGGCGGGGGCAGTCATTCGATGATTTTCCCCCCTTAAAAAAAAAAAAAAAAAAAAAAAAAGCATTCTTTTAAAAAAATATTCAATGTACATTTTTACTTTCATAAGATTTTATTATATGTATGTATAGATAGATAAATAGATATAGATGTCTTTATCCTAACAAAACTACGTCATAACATTCTTTACAATTTCTTTGAACTTATCTAAGATATAAGTATCAAAAAACAGCATACCTTGCTGCCACAGAAAAAAACACCATTCATTAAATAAAACATTTCTATTCAACAATAAAAATATATCAAAATTAAAAAAAAATATATAATACGATTATAATCCCGGGTCGGACAAAGAATTACTGGGTTTCAAAAAAAAACTAAGTAGTAGCAAGGAGACTGGAATTGTGCCCGGTATATGACAATAGGCTCACCACCTATTTATATTATAGTGAAAAGTCGGTGTTACATTGTACAGTGGCATAATGTGCACCTCTACCTACCCCTTTGACGATAAAAGGCGAGATGTTATGTTATGATTATAATACCATGCTACATACTTACAAAAATTATTGATTTTACTGTCTGTCCTACTAGAAGCACTGTAATAATATCAGATATACATGTATGTATATGAAATCAGAAGCAGTCTACGCATTTCATCTCACAATCACAGAAACATTAGACCTCGTTATCTATAAATCTATCGACCACCCGGACCAATGTTTACATATCACATCCCCGTTATATAAACACTGCGGACGGCGCGTGCGCACACACCTGCAACATCGTCGGCGCATGATCCAGACATGTATAGATCTTTAGATCTTAATGACAGGATGAGTGTCAAATTGTAAATAATGATATACGAGTGTTGATGATAAGACTGAACTTATAATTATGATTTAGATTGTGTTTAAGGTTAGATAGATGTCTATTTTAATGTTTATGTTTATTAAATGTATATAACCTACAGCTTCCGGGCACTCAGGGCGTCGGGGATCGCTGGATGATCTCCGGCCACCGTAAGCGCAGGCCTGCGGACGGTGAGCGCAGGAGTAGGAACGGATCGGTTTTTAGTCAGTAAGAGTCTGACACTAAGGGCGGGAGCAGTAATTCGATGATAGCTAGGTTAATTAATCTAAACAGTATTTAAGCCAGCTTCGAAGATGAGTTACTAAGGACTATGCTACATTTACCGAACCGACTGCACAATTGGCGCGGTGGTTGGGCAACTGGCTGTGGCGCAACGTGTCGCGAGTTTAATTCCCGTACGAAACAATTCTTTGTGTGATCCGGGTCTTGGTGTCATGTTTATGTAAACTTGTATGTTTGTAAACGCGCCCACGATACAAGAAAGAATTCTAGTGTGAGGGGCAAAGTTTAAAAAAAAAACCAGTAAAATTGAAATTGTGTTCAATGTTCAGTGTTCTCTTTCAGGCTCACTCCTGACACATTGTGCTACGATATAATGCAAAACTATAGTAAACAAACAAAGTAGTAAGAAGTTTTTATTACTGGTGTTGCAT